TCTACGTTATCAATTTCAGGATGTAGTCGCAAGTCTTCACAGTTACTTCACTTGTAATATTTTGATCGCATTTGCCATACTGCTAAGTTTCAAGCATTTTGGTGGCCGTCCCATGGAATGTATGATACCACAAGGCTTCAACAGTGCTTGGGAACAGGTTAGGCTCTGACCATCCATTTGTTGTTTCTTTAATTAAACTGTGCTAATTTTTTCATCTGTACTCCGACAATAGTGTAAAATTCCTAATGGAAAAATTCATGTCATGAATTGTTAAATAATTTCGGGAATGTTTGAGTACAATTCGAAGTCTTTTCATGATGATTCGACTTACTTTTTGCAAACAACAGAGCACAATAAAACTTACGTTATGCTATAATCGACAGTTGTGTTATTTTTGAATTCAGTATACGGAGAATCTCTGCTGGGCTGAAGATACGTACTTCGTGCCACCGCATATGTTCGTTGAGAATGTTTCCGATGCGGATCGTAAGGAACGTCGTATCAGTTACTACCAATGGATGCCTTTCTTCCTCCTATTTCAAGCTGTTTGCTTCAAACTACCAACTTTCATTTGGAAATATCTTGCTGGACACTCTGGTTACTTCATTTTCGTATTATTTTTTTCGCAAGTAATCATCGTTTCATTATTATCATCATATTTTGTGTTCACTACAGGAATGAAAGTCGGCGAGATATTGCGAGTTTCAACGGATCCGGCGAACTCGAATCCTGATGTGAAGAAAGCTAATATTCAGTCGTTGTGCGTTCACCTACAAGGAGCTTTACGCTTCCACAGACGACTCGTCAAGGTTCGCTTCAAGTTTCTCTGATGAACAGATCAAGGATCTNAACTTCAGTTGTAAAGTGTTTGCTCGAATTCAGAGGGATGTTTTTAATGTTGATGTTATAATGTGATTCAAATGAAACGAATGTAATATTATGCAATATCAATAATGTCATGTAGCATGGAAAAATTGAAAATATGCAAAAATTTTCAAGAACTTCATGAATTCGGTTTCCAACAAAATAAATTGAGCCCGTAAAAATTTAACAATTTTATGAAATTTCAGAAATACATTGTACCACATCGAATACTGCGTTGCCTGAATATACGATATTCATCTTATTATTTAGTCACCATCTATATGATCGCTAAATTTGCATTTTTTCTCAATGTGTGTTTTCAGTTGCATTTGTTGAGTCGGTTAGTAATTCTTCCATATACCGTTCATTGTATTCGTGTAAAATGCTCACTGAATTCGTTTTTGGTTGGAAATTTTCAATCGCAATCTTACATGGTGATCATATAAGTTGATCGTTTCATAGTATCGAAAATGTGTAAAAATTTTCCGAAAATTTTATGAATTCTTCTCCCCCCTCCCTCCTCAACAAAAGAAAAGAAAATAAATTGGGCTCACAGTCTTGAAATAAATTGTTATTCAGATATTTGTTGCCT